CCGCAGATGGCTCTTACTCATTTTTCATTTGTAAGAGATTATCGCGTATTGACTGTGTAAGGGGGGGGGGAGAGTTTTGCCTTGTAAAATGTTCAAAATTCGTGTTTTTAATGGTTCACTAATATAACTAATCCCTACTTCTTGATGGAATATGATTGAAGGTGGCTTTAATGCTCGAGAAAAGACCCTTACAGCGTTAAGGAGGGCTTATTCGTGTTGCCAAATACTCCAATTCTCATTGGTTAAACGAGATGAGAAGTTGGTAAAGTAAACCTTTACGCATCCCTCTTCTTCTTCTTCACCTCTTTTTTTATTTAATTATGCAGTATACTTTGAATATCGCTTCTATTTTTGCTTCTAGGATTGTAATTATTAATGGTGTAAAGCCTTTCTTTAGTATTCGCATCCGGATGTTGGAGAAGTCATCTTGATCTTCTCTCGTGTTCTCTCGTGTGATCTTCTACGTTGGCGAGATATTTTGAATGGTTATAAATTATTTTTAAAGTGGATAAATTTTTAGTTTAAAGGTAGAAAAATCTGTAAAAATCTTCAAATGTTTAATTTTTTCTTTTATTAAAGTAATAGAAGAGATGCATTTCTTAGTATTATTAGTATTAAGTGTGTCATCTCTGCCTTTATTATAATAATAAATTGACTTATAAAATTGATTATAAGAAGTTAAAAATATTGTTTAAGTACGTAAAAATTATAAAAACATATAGATTTAAATATATACATCCAAATTTTCTTGAATTATATCAAAGAATTCTAGATTTTATCTGTAAAAATCAAGTAAAAATAAGGACTTGAATGTAGAAAATTATATACAATAAAACCTCTTAATAACGGCCACTGGTGGGAACACAAAGAATAAAGTAACCGTTGTTTGTAGGTTATTTTGTATGCATTTTTTATTCAACGTTCCTGAAAAAATGGCCGCCATTTAGAGGTGGTCGCTATTAGGAAGTTCCTATAGTAATTTTCTAGTATTTATCTTACAAATTAAGGTTTTTTTATAAAGGAAATTTTATTTAAAACAACTTTTTTTTAATTACATATTTTAATTCGTAGCTCGTAATAACGAATCGATGTACAATACAGTACGGTGTGTATATTTTTAGGAGTTCTTTGCGCGTCAGAGAAGGGACTTTTGTACAAATTTATTTTATTTTNATTTTTTTTTTCTAGTGTAAGTTTATTTCATGTTAAAATAAACAGTTTTTGTAATACTTGTCATCTTTGTCTCTGCCGCCACTATCCACATACAAAAGAACCCTAGACCATCACTGACGTGAAATTAACTGATTTCCCCTAAAAGTCAGTTTACTTACATTTATACAGAATATTAAATTGATAATGAGGTGAGAATAGTGTATTATCGATATTAAGAAGAATTGCTGATTGAGTTAAATTATAGTAAATAATTATACTACAGCTAAAGATGAATTAAATCTTAAAATTTTATCATCATTAATAATGATGAGAAATTATTTTTATGCTCTATGATGCCTATAATTACTAATTGCAATCATTTTCTATGGCAGTGATGTGGAAATTATGAAAGAATAGTCTATAACTAATTAGACTCGAATGATCTCAGCTTTCTATTTGATTATATAATGAAATTCTGATGAAATTTTGCGAATTTCTTGATTTTTTTTCCTTCTTCAACCTTTAATACTTTATTTTAAGATTTAGATTAAGATTTTTCGAATTGATAAAGATGAACATCATCTATAAAAGCGAGATAAGAAATTCACTTTGAGTTTGTTACATAAAAATAAATTATAAATTATGTAGTAAAATTATCTAGTTTATAATATATATTTTAAGTTTATTTAAATAAATAGCACCGAAAATATTTAATTTTTCTACATAAATCACTTAATATGAGCTTGTTTTCTAGTTTATTCTCTAGTCTAATGTGGTAAACCGTGTATAACGCGCAGAACTTCAGGCTGTTCTAGCTAAGTTCTAGTATTGTTTTTTTAGTCATTTTTGTGCAAAACAATACAAAATTTTACCTTAATTTAGTCCTCGAAATCCCAGAATATTCAATTTTTATATCCATAAATTAAGAAACAAATTTTTGTAGTTATAAAGCGAAAGTAATTGAGGATACAGAAACTTTTTACAAATGTTTCTTCCATCTTTTAACTCGTTAAAATATGAAAAATTTTAAACAAAAATTTGTAATTAATTTATCCTCGAAAAGCCTAGAAAATATTCTGAAAATTTTACGTTTATATTCATAAACTAAGAAACAAATTTTTGTAGTTATAAAGCGAAAGTAATTGAGGATACAGACACTTTTTACAAATGTTTTCCTCCATCTTTTAACTCGTTAAAATATGAAAAATTTAAAACAAAAATTTGTAATTAATTTATCCTCGAAAAGCCTAGAAAATATTCTGAAAATTTTACGTTTATATTCATAAACTACATTGTAAATTCTTGTAATTATAAAGCGGATATAATCAGTTTTTAAGGGTACTTCTCGAGCTTTTTTCACTTATTAAAACATAAAAATTAAAATAATAACTGTTTTAAAACAAGGAAACGATTAATTTATTCCTTAAAAAGCTTAAATATAAACTTAAAAATCTGACGTTTCTCACCATAAATTGAAAAATAAAGCTAAAGTAATCGAGAATACAGCAATTTTTTTACAAGTGTTCCTCCATCTTTTAACTCGTTAAAATCTTACAATAATAAAAAAATAAACCAAAATTTATAATTAATTTATTATCTGAAAGCTTAGAACAGTGGTTCTCAACCGTTTTGGCACGAGCACCCCGTGAACCTTCTGTCTATAGACTTGTAGCGCTAACTGGAGTACGCGTACCACCGGTTGTGAACTTAAACGTAGAATATATTAAGAAAACTTAACGTTTCTCCCTCACGAATTAAGAAATGAATTCTTATAGCTATAAAGCAAACTTAAATACATTTTAGAAGAACATTTTAATGTTTTAACTCGTTAAAACGTCGAAAATTAAAACGCCAGCCATTTTTAAATGGAAGTAATACAAATATGTTCAAATCAACCAGCATAAACTCAAATAAATCTGAAAAATTTCTTCATAAAAAGTGAGAATAAGTTCTTGCATCTATTAAAGAAGAGAAATTAACAATATACAGTAAAACCTGTCCAAAACGGAACACGGATAAAGCGGAAACACGCCTAAAAAGTGGAAAATTTCTCGGAACGGAGAGAGATTTTCTACGTTAAAAGAAACCTGTTCAAAACGGACACCGGAAAAACAGTGCAATTCACATTCACGCAGGTTTTACCATAAATAATTTGTAGAAAGTAGCGTGTTACAGCTTTGTGGAGCCGAGGCGAATTTGTATTAGGGGGCCTCACGTACAGTTTCGACTTCGGAGGAAATATTCTCTCATAAAAAAAGATTTATTTGGGGCCTTCCTGCTGGTGAGACTTTTTTTTCTACAGATGAACGCATTTCTACAAACGTTTTTTTACCTTTTTAACGGGTTAAAGCGACATTTTTTGAAGCAAAAAATGACAAATTTTTCAATATAAATAGGTCTAATAATAGGCGGAAGATGTACACCTGTCTTTTATTTTCCAAGACAAAAGGAGCCGAAGTTGAAAGACTTTAAAGAAAAGAAGAGGAGGATGAAAGGTTAATAAACACTAAATAGGTCATACTCTGTGAAGGGAGAGTGTACCACAGTGTTCCATCCTCCTCCTATGTACTGTATTGTACCACATAATTAATATCCATCTCTTATTATGGATAAGAGTAGAAAATGATTCTTTAGATCTCACGAAATTTAATTATCTTTAAAATCCTTACAAAGTAACATTATTATTATTATTTTCAAATGTTAAATTTGTCAATAAATGTACGAGTATTTTTCGATTTTAATGCATTAAAATGTGTTTACTTTTGATAAAAGAATAAGAGATGTTCGCGTGAGAACCGAACCCACTCCTTCCGGTAATTGCTATTATCGAATGGAGTCGGTTGCCATTATGTGTTGTTAACGAAAGGCGATGGTTCGGACCTTGCTTGGAATTAAATGTATGATTGTTAATCAGCGATAGTTCGGTTTTCATTTGGATTTAAATTGACGACTATGTTTTAATAAATTAACCTCTAAATAACGGCCATTTTTATGTTCTTGTCATTGTCTTTGTTAAGAGGTTCGGCTGTATACCGTTGATGAAAGGAGTTGGTTCCGTTATATATTGTTTACGAAAGTCAATGGTTCGGTCCTCGCTTGATATTAAATATGTTATCGAAAATAACATTGGCATTGGTTCGGTCCTACACAAGACTAATGTATATATATTTTCCTCCTTTCATTTTCAAGTTTATGAATTTAATTTTTAACACTAATAAAAGAAAATATCAAAAATTTATATTAAATTATGACAATAAAATTTGGGTTTTTACACGAGAAAAGAAGGAAATGAATTAAATTTTAAAACTAAAACGTCGTTTTTATATTAAAACTACTGAAGAACCGGGATTCCGATCTAATCACATGCCAACAAAATCTCCGATTTAGACCCGCGACCGAGTAAATAAAACTAATAAAACACTACTTGATCGTGGGTTCGCGCCTCCACAAGTGGGCTGACCACCCAATTATAGGTCGATTTCCCATAGAAGGTACTCACGAGAGGCATTCTACCAAGGCATATGGCCCATGTGTTATACCACCAATCCAATCTTTTCTGATTTTAGCTCATTTCCTTTGAGTAATTTGCAATTTTGTATGTAATAATATAGGGAGTGGGTTCGGTTCTTGTATGGTTTGCGATGTGTATAATAATCTTACTCGAAAGACTTGGGTTCGGTTCAATCCCAGTTCAACGTATATGTTAATGAATAGTTTATAGATGGAAATAATGTATTTAGAAATTTGGGAATTTATATTATAAAATAATATATATATTTTTTAATGTATAAAAAGTGTCAGATATATTTTAATAAAAAAAAAATTGAAAATTATTGTTATAATTTCAGATTATTTGGCACAACAGGTTTATGTTCGGCCTGTAACAAAACAATTCCAGCCTTCGAAATGGTTATGAGGGCTCGAGGTAACGTCTATCACCTGGAATGTTTCGCTTGTCAGCAGTGCAATCACAGGTAAATTTATTTCTAGTTGTTTACAGATACATCAGGCTTGAATTCTATTCATTAATTACAGTAAAAAAAATATATATATATATACACTATTTTTAGATTAAATTATTATTATTCGAAAGAATATAATTAATTTAATAATTTATTTTAGATTAATAATAAATTAGAATTAATAATTAATCATTTAAGATGTTTAGTTTAGTTAAATATATAATAATTGGACAAAAAATAAAATGGCGGAATACCTTCGATTGATTAACCAATCAAATTATAATTATTTAAATTTTGAATTTTTGAAAAAAATGTACTTAGATTGAAGTGATTTTCGAGTAACATTTTTATAAATAAATATTAATTTAAGTATTTTAAGACATTTTATTTAAGAAAATTATAATTATTTTAATAATTTTTCAAAACGATCCGAGTCTAAAATAATAACAATCTTAGTGTTGCCAGCTTTCAGCTTTAATTAATTAAATTATTTATATTTGTATTAGAATAAAAGAATATATTTCTTTAGTTTTAATAATTATTTTTTTTTATTTTCACTTTTAAAAATTATTTATTTTTTAAATTTGTTACAAATGATGCCAATTTTAGAAGGTTTTTAAAATAAATTATTCGAGGAAAGTATTATTAACGAGTTGGCAACACTTTGTCAGATTGTTTTTAAATTGCGTATTCAATACTTTAAAGTAAGATTATGGTTATTTAAAGCTATTACACGCTGCATTGAAGCAAATAAGGATATTATATAGGGAGTGTGGTCTAATTTTCTTCAATTATTAAACTTTGTGAGGCAAATCGTATAAAAATATCTGTATCACAAGACTGCACATTGCCCGCCGCCTTGACAAATCTTTAAAGTTTCAAAATAAAAAGAAAGAAAAACAGAAATAATTGTTTATAAAAATTGCACATTAACAATTGAAAAATTAAACACCGTAAACAAGAGCAATTAAAACGTTAAACGTTACTATACTTCAACATAATCAAATATCGGTAAACGTCATCAATATATCAAAAAATGCGAAGATAAAAATAAGAAAAGAGAAGAGAAAGATCGATGAAAGGATGTACGATTTTTCTTAGGAGGTCCAAAAGAAAAAAATACATATATATAAAAAAATAGCATTTGAATCCAAAACTGATTTATAATATTTAAAAAGTTGGAGTGTGTCATTTGTCTATGATCGGGCGGCCATTTTGACATCATTCGCACTCAAAAACCCCGAATGCAAGGTGTTGGTTCCTAGTGGAAATAAAGTACCTGTCATAGCCGAGTGAACGACCATCGGATATCAATGGTTAGTCCTAGTATCCCTGATTGGCTTGTCTATCAGGCACGGAGATCCTGATAGACTCGCAAGCACTGACGGATCGACTGCTACTGCATTCGATCAATGGATGTCAACTGCGTGTCCCTTTGTGTGGCTACTCAACTGTCACTGAATAGCCTTACAATCGGCTATTCTGGTCCCAAATTATCGTCAGATTACAGACTATGAAGTCTTCTATTCACTGGCGAGTAGAGAGATTTGGTGAAACAGAGCATGCGTTCTGATGACTACTCATATACTAAAACGTTAGATAGGCTTTTTATTGACCCGTTTGGTTGTCCACTAGACGCCTTTATTGACATTTGTGCGTCTGTATTGTCAATTAGGCAATGAGAATTGAGAAAAAAAAATTCTTTTCTTTTTTAATTAATTTAAACTTTTTTCCCCTTTTCCTTCCTTTTTCTAAGGGGGCGCTTTCGACTAGATCACAATCGAACCTAAACTGATAGACGTAACAAATGAAACTAATCTGTTTCGGATAATGAGGCGATAAACTGTAACCAATCGGATCGGGTTAATTAACGGATGCAGGCGTGACGTCACTTGATGAAGTTAGAGTGAAGCTATTGGATTTAATGCGATTTGGTGGCCATTTTACCTTTGTTTCTGTTATTCGCGGTTATTAATGAATAAATAGTAATTCTTACTAAACTCGCCGCTCGAAAATTTTCCTCAAAATCACAAAATAAAAGTATTTAGAACCCGTTTTTCTTTTAAAATCGAAACTCAACTTCGACTTTCCAATGAAATATACGTCACGCGGAACCTATTTAAGGCGTTAATTAGCATTAAATTGAGCTTACATCATAAGATTGACATTAATTTAATGCTAATTTACTGTACGGTGGCCATTTTATGACGTCACAAATCGAATTTTTTGAATATTAACTCCACATATCGGACTTACAACACCAATTTGGAATTTGCTATCCACTTTAACACCCATTTTTTAAAGTCTAATTTCATTAGGGAATACGCGATAGAGTCGATCGCGATCCACCGATTGAATAATTCAAGCGGCTTTACTTAACCAATCACTTCTCAACCTTTAATTTAGTAAAATAACCGAATTATTATTGTATTTCACTCACTGTTTTTAGGAAGCAGCGAGTTAAAAATATTTTATTTTTTTATTTTTTTTTCAAGTATAAAATTTGACAAATTTCTCTCGCAGGTTTTGCGTGGGGGATCGTTTTTATCTTCACGACAACAAAATACTCTGCCAGTACGATTACGACGAAAGAGTGCTTTTTGCCACCATGCCATATACATACAACATCCGAAGACATCCCGAGAGACAGGAGGACGCATCGAGCGGTTACGGAAGCGGCGATTCCGTCATAGAAGGCAAATGACGTCAACAGAGACGTCGCCCTTAGACAGTGACGTCGTCAAAATTCAAAAAATACAAAAAAAACAAACAATCCAATTTTTGCCAACAATTTTTACGGACCACTAAAAACGTTTGTTAGGAGGTTCGAAAACAAGAAAAAAGTATCCAATTTTACGTTTTTATTTTATAATTATTAGAAATTTAGTGGGAAGAATTAATTTCCTTATTTTTAAATTTATATACGGTACCCCTTTTTCTAGTCACGTGTTTCAAGGCTGTGCCTTGTACGTAACACAATATACTGTAAATAATATATATATATACAGTATATTTTATGTTAGATTATTAAATTAGTCATTATTATTATTATATTATTATTATTATTATTAATTTTTAGTGGGNATGTTGAAAAGTAACGAAATTAAATGCAATCATTCATTCTTTTATAAAATTATCGAATTATTTGAAATTATATATATATAAATATATATAAAATATAATAATTTTTTTTATTATCAACTAAATATTATCTATAATTAGAAGAAAATAAGGTTATAAATACCTGAATATAGTAAAATTAATTAATTAGAAGCGTGTTAATTAATCATTTCTAGTCATTGTATCTGAAAATTCTTTTAAAAATAAATGTATTAGTTACATTTGCTTATTTATTTTTACATTTTTTAATATAGAAAATAAGGTTTAAATTGTCTATAAGACAGATAATATTTTATATTTTTTAATGGAGAAATTTAAATATAATTTTTTTTAAGGATCTTTAATGATCCATTCTTTAAGAGGAGTATTTGAATTATAAAATTTCAAATTTTTCAATGTTATTCAATGGAGATTTAAGCAGCATCGATTTTAAACCATATCTTACACATTGCTACCAATTATACACAATGAGGAGTTTTAAAGTATGAATGCCTTGTACAATAGTAGAAGATTTATGCATGAATATTCAGCATTATGTACAGTACATCGTCTCTATTAATAATTAGGGCTTTAAAAAAAATTAAATAACTTAAATTTTATAATAATAATAATAAATTTCAAAATTTATCTTTGGATAGACGATGATGCATATTCTCTTCCTCCATAATGCAATTTAAATATAATTGATTAGTAATTTGGGTAGTGGATATAACTACTGAACACTGGTCGTGTGTTCGCACCTCGCTAAGAACGTTTTCCGGGTTTTCTTTACGTTTCTAACATCTAAACAGGGGCCAATTTTCAATAAAAAGTTCTCCAGGGAGGTTTCCCTTCTTGGCAGATGGCCCGCACGTGGCATTACCAAATATAAACAAACAATTAGCAATTTACTTGTGCTTATAGTAAATTTTCATTTACTAATTTAACGTGTACGCATATAATTTTACATTATATATTATTAAATATAATTATTTTCAAGAAGATTTATTCGTGTGCTCATATCATAATTCCCATATAAGCCTATTATAGGTAATAAATAATTTGATCCCTTACATAAGGTAACAGCTGAGAGTTGTAAAGCTGTTACAACTTGTTAATTAAAAATATTAAACAATAAGATAATTATATATTACTATTTTATAAATATTTTTCTAGCATTAACAATTAGAAAGTTACAATTAATTGTATAGGCCTATAAGTTCTATATTAATTTCTCCCTCTTCATCCTCCCAATTCTTTTTCTCATCATCACTTATCTCATCTAATCATTAGAAAATTAATATAAATCGATTTTTTAAACTGAAAAATCCATACTGAATGCCATCTTCTATGCTAGAAATTCGATTTCACAGAGATTTTTAGAGCATTTTAAGTAGAAAAATACTTTAAAATTTTAAATTTATTAAATATCAGAATAGTATATTATCTAATTAAAACTTTTCCTTGTAAAAAAGGAGGTTAAAACACTTTAAAAGTGAAGAAGAGTGGAGATAAAAATCCGGAAAGGTTTAAACATTTTAAATTCGCTTAAGGATGAGTTAGAGAATACATTTTTCTTATATACAGTATTAATTACAAAGAGATATTCGTCAGTAGGAGTAAGTTTTGAGGAAGAAAAAAACGGAGAATTTTTATAAGATAATCCTAAGTGCGTGTAAACAGGATTAATTAGGAGAGTCGAGTCAAAGTCTTCGTCTCAATTAATGATTACGAAGACTTCCGTCTCTTTAGCCTCTGGGGATAACTAATCTGGTTACTGCATTAGGCTTAGCCACTCTTTGCTTCGGGCAAGTTGTCAAGCCAAGCAGGCTTAGCACCAGAAGAGACAAGTTAAGGACAAGAGAAAAAATTTAGTGAAGCAGGCGCTTGGGTGCTATCCATCAACTGCACTGACCAGCAGATGGCTCCGAGCTAACTGGTCCTATTAACCCTGTCCCCTGGAGAAGTTGACATGCCAGGGGGCGTTCAAAAAGGATGGCACTATTATTGACTGAATATAACTTAAAATTTACTAAAAACTTTTATTTTTACTTTTCTAATAACATCAGAACTCTCCAAGAATCATATTCCTCCTCCTCATCTTTTGCATCTCTCTCTCTCTCCGGCGCTTCTACTCCTTATAATTAAATGTTTTTTTGTGATTTTATCGATGTAGATCAATCGAAAATTATGTCTCTTTCTCAGATTTATAACCGGATCGATTTTATCCGATAGAATAAATCTGCAGTTTATTATTATTTTTAAGTACAGCGAAGGTTGGTAAGTTATATAGAGACGTGCGACGTAAAGTATGTTTAGTACTTTTGTAATTCTTTCTTAATTTTAAATATTAAAATTGAATTTTATAAATTACTTTGTATACTTCTGAAGTGATACGTTTGAATGANCAGAAAGGTATATATATATTTATATATAACAGGAAAAAAGGCTTTTGGAAGAGTCAGGATTTAGTTTCCTACATTCTTCCTAATGGACAACAACATTCGGACGTCCGTTTGCTAGAGCATTCGGTAAAGTGATAAGTTACTGAAGATCTGCAACGACCAATCAGCTCTTTTCTATCTAATGGATTTGATTGCAGTAAATGTGTACGCGAATAGGGTTGCTGTCTTGTGATGGTATGAGGTCGAGATTACGGTCAAGTCATCATTGGACGTCGTCACGTGACTATCGAGTAGGGGAGAGTTTAATGGACATACTATGACTGCTTTGGGTCAAGAATGGCGACAGTTGTTCGTTTGTCATTACTTCTTTTGACCTCTCGTGTCGACCGGGCTTTACATAAAAGGAATTCCTAAACATAATTTCCAATTTATTTATTTTATTTAAAATAATATCAACTTTAAAGAGTGATGTGTAAATTAATAGATGAGGATCTTTTTTTTGAGGGGGGAGACTCTTTCTTTCTTAAAGATCTTGTACTAGGAAGGGGTTTTTCACTTAAAATTTATTCTTCTAAGGATAAAATTGCATTGAAATGACTGGTTTTTATTCAGAATGTTATCCAGAATAACAAAAGGTCAGATTTATGTAAATTAAAACTTTTTACAGCAATTTCAGTAGCAGTGTATTGAAAACATTGTCACTGAGCACCAATTGAACTGTATATCATTGTCTTAGGTCTTGGGATAATAACACAATTATTAACCAAAAAGAATTGATATTCAAACAAGAACATCTGAGATGTGAAAAATTATGACAATTTAGATGACAGTCAAATTTTTTCTCTCAGATTTTCTTTGATAAAGATAAGCTTGGCACTTTAAAACAAAATATGGGAAACAATANGAGAGAGAGAGAGAGGAGGAGGGGGAGACCAAAGCGTGTTTCTAACAAAGGCCACCAGGGCTCGGTGATATCTAATGATGGTCAATGGCAGTCCGGAAGTGGATAAATTTACCGGAAGTGACGGTAATGCTGCGGAAATGACGAGGAATGTGGTGATCAGAGGTGACCTCTAGTGGCGATTTCTATTAACCTTGGGAGTGACGAAGAATTCGTTGGAAAATGGAAAGAAAAGAAGAAAAAAAATAATAAATAAATAAAAAAAGTGCTCCTCCCAACGATTTTTAAATAGATTCTTCCTCTTTCTAATATCTTTTTTGAATTCCGTTTGTTTTATTTCTTCTTCTTCTACTTCTAGTTTTACTTTTAGGCTTTGGCACAGAAATTTTATTGCGTGAACTAATTCCACAAAAACCTGAATACCGTTGCCTTTTAAGCCTCGACCGATTGAAGTATAGAAAAGCAGTTACTTCTCTATCCCATGTCTCGAGTAATCAGCAGTTTTCAAAGCTTTTACTCTAAAAGCTTTCTTGTGTTCGCAAATGCCACACTGTTTAAACAAATGCTAGACTTTGGACGTCCTGTCGCATGGACCTAACCCACGTTTGGTTGCTTGGCAACTGGCACGTTCGCTGGATAGGTGTCGCTTTAGCATCGGTCGCCATCTTGTATTTTCTCTCTCTCTCTCTCTCTCTCCCCTTCCGCTAAGACGGAAGTATTTTAGTGAGAACGGAAATGAAGGCGGATGTTGCTCAGTCACGTGATGATCCAACGGAAAATGTCTGCTTTCGATAATAACTTTCGCCACTATCTTTGGCGGTTAAAAGGGGGGAAAATGGTAAAAAAGAAAAAAAAAGCGTTATAGAAACGGATCCGTCTGTCTGCTCGTCATCATTATCAATCAATATCCGCATATAATTAATTTTCTTGTGGATAAGAATTGATGTTACTTATCAGAGTTAAGAAAACTGATTGGAAAGTTAACAGTTTCTAACATAAACTATCGATTATTATATAAAAATATATCAAATTTGACGGCGATTTAAATAAAATCTTTCGTCGCATTTACGTTTATTTTTTTTTCATTAATTAATCCAATTTTAATTGTTATTTTTCGATCATCAGCATCACTCTCCTCCTCATCCTCCTCCTCTAATAAGCTTAACAAATCATACACTTTTCCTATACTTTTAACGCTTTTAAAACATAATTTATCAACAATAAACCGATTAGAAAAGGGAGGAAAAAAGCATCAAAATCGAAAGATATATTTCTAAAAATCGAAAATTCAATAAGGAAAGATAATTTAGCATCCTCTCTCCTCCTTCATCCCAACTCTTTCTCGAACCTCTCTATCTTTCAATTCGGAGTTTACACGCTTTAAAAATTTTAAAAATGCGCCCCTTTTTTTTAAAAAAAAGAAGGAGGGGACCATATTAAAAGCTGGATCGATGTAGATTTTAAGTATAACCCTAGAGGTTTGTTCGTCAGCATTTGATAAAAGACTTGGGGGCCTTGAAATTACTGATAGACGTTCATTACTGAGCTGGTTGTTCAACATCTATTGCTGAGTTCGTTAGCTTGTAAGCGAAATTAATCCGAGGTTGGGACTTGGTGTTATTGGATTTGTCTGGTCTCTCGGATTGGCTGATATT